CCTTTTCAAAGTTGTAACTAAGTATGTTTAAGTTACTTTTTTTTCTTATTTTTTTTTTTTTTGTTAAGTTACATTACTTTTTAGTTTAATAAGTAACTCAATAACAATAGAAGTTTCTTTTTTTTTTTAAATGTCACTGGAGCTTACAAACCATGTTGTCAATACAACAATACACAAATAAAATAATGATATAAATATAAATACTTATTTGTAATAACACGATTGTCTCGGTACTATGATTTATGAATATCGACTAGTGATATTCGTTAACTTAAATCGCAATAAACTAATGAACATTTACTAATTAATAGCTAATGGATATCAGAAATTCATAAGATTAAATCGTAATTTATCAACAATAGTCACCAACTACAAGAAAAAAATTTGTGGATAGTAAGTAATAATTGATAAATAATAATAATAATTATTATTATTGGGATTATTACATTATATATTATTATTCAAATTTCCAATAACGCTGCTGGGCCCACAAATATCGATCAAGTCCACCGTCTGCAATGATACAACACAGAGCAAAAGATATGAATTTTGTACTAAGAATAACACTTAATCGTCACATAGCCAATATCTAAAACAAAAAAAAAATAATTTAGAAAATTTTACTTGTGTTAATACTTATATATATATATATATATAAATATTTATACACAGTATTAATGTTCAATAAGCTCTGAAATTGTATTATGTAAATAAAAAATAAAAAAATAACAAGTTATTTAGTAATTTAATTGCAAAGAGGTAACTTAAATTATCATCGAATTACTTGTAAAAGTAATTTCGTTATAGAAACTTGTAACTTAAGTTACTCCTCAACACTGATAACTTGTATTGGGGAGAATTTGAAACAGTGGTGTATTTGAAGGGGAGGGGCAATCGCCCCCCCTAAGAATTTTTAGACCAAGACAATTTTTATATAAGTAATGGGTATTTTATTAAGAAATAAAAATTATGATTTATTTTATAGTATTACTATATTTGAAAACGTTTCAAATTTTATACTAATTTAAATAACGCAAAACGCTCAATTTTTTATAACGTTTTAATTATCAATAACGGTAAACGGAAAATTTTTTATACGTTTAAATTTGTATAACGTTTAAACGCTTAAATTGAAAAACGTTTAAATTATTTATAGCGTTAAACACTCAATTGTTTATAACGTTTAGATGTCCCATAACAATAAATAATATATATTATTTTGATTAAAGACCCAGTCCATACTTAGTGAAAAATTAGATAAAACACAAGCGAAACTTTCAAAACACAGATAGGTGTTAAAAAAGAACTACACAAAAGACCATTCTAGTGGATCTGGCATTAGATTAAAAAAAAAAAAACCCACAAATATTAAGGATTCATTTGATATAAATATTACCAAAAATTTTACTTGTAAATTTTAAGTCTGAATTAAAGAAAAAATTTGAGTTCCCCCTCCTAGAAGTAAGTTTAAATATGCCCCTGGTTTGAAATATTGTAAGCTAGATCAGCACTTGATCAGAAAATGGCCAGCATTATAAATCAACTCTGCTTATTTATAACCCTTACAAGGAGCTTACTTAGATTAGTCTGCTTAACATATAGGTACCGTTATTTAAAATGATTGAAAAATATGGACGGTATACGGAGGCATGGACTATTTATAAAACAGTGATGGTTATAAGGGGGTTGATATATGGATCTCCCCCCCTTGGGATTTGTTTTTTTAAATATAGTATATCGCTGGGCCATCTACACCTATCTTCAATTTTTTTTAACTTATGATTTAATAGCAAAATATTTATTCGTTTTAATCATGGAATATACTAGTATATTATTATAGCTAGGTATATATTATTATACTCTATGTCTCGGTCACGCACGCTTAACCAAACTGATAACAATTATTATTATAGTATTATTTTTAGTATTAGACATTCATTATTTGGTCGTTGATGATCTATTATAAAATAAATTTATTTGTATATTTCTAAATCATATATGTATATAAAAATGCTATGGGGTGGGAGACGATTGACTTTATTCCCCCCTTGATCATCATGTATAACTGCCACTGCTATATACTTATTAGAATAATACTTGTATTATGCTACATATAGCTAAAACCTGATTTATTATTTGGATTATACACTAAGATAAATAATGATTAAACAATAATAGAAATGTAACCATTGACGTTACGCTGAAATCGACTAATGTTTGAATTTCTTCAATGTTAATGAATTAGTTTGTTTCATTAATTCATATGGCATAGTTAATTAATCATGTTATTCTTTTATTTTATCTCAAAGTATGAATAAAATACGACAACAACATCCATGACAACACTTATTATTTGACCTACCGTGATTTAGCATCAATAATTTGATTATATGATAGAAATTGTATAAATTAAGTTATATCAATAGATTATACTCATAAACCGTTCTCAGTTAATTGTCTATCTAATGGTGTTAGCCGCATCTTAATCCATTCAGTCGTTTCAGACTTTATTCCGAACAAAATAAGCAACTTAATTTTATTACATGTATTGATTTGTTAAATTTAAATTTATAATTTCATAATCTTATGACAGACAATTATTGTATATACTCATAATTTAGTTCAATACAAATAATGTATTATATTTTTATTTTAAAATAAAACGATTTCTATCAATTTTTTTTATTTACAATTTTATAGAATCCATGAACTACTAAAATTGTAGTGTTGTATAATAATTCGTCTTATTCAAAGTTTTTTTTATTTCTCAAGAGAATAATTTGTTTTAATATTTTACCGTACAAACAAGAATAGTTACTGTCGGTTTTAACTTCGAAGTTTTTAAATATTTTAAGAATGTAATTTTACATCATCTCATGTAAACTAAAATCGTAAATATATAACAGTAAAATAACTTTAAAATTAACAATATTAATTAGTTTAAATCAAAAAAGTATGATTTCTTTTAAAGGTAACAACCAACAGTTCTGTCTAGTGATGTTGTACTGAAGAAGATTGTCTTTAAATAGTTAGAAACTATTAAAGTACACATTTTCTTTTTACAATTTTCAAATTTTTAACCTTTTTATTGTACGCATGTGTAAAACTACTTGCATATTTTAAATTAGAACACCTATTTTCAACAACAAATTTAGATAGAACAAATTTTTTAAGTCAACTTAGTACTATTTACCATATCTCTAAAAATCGAAATTGACTGAACGACAACGAGTTAAAGTTACGATTCAAATTTTTTAATTTTTCAACAGTTATCCTACAATTTAATGAATAATAAAAAAAATTGAATAAAATCTATGCTATTTAAAGTGCTTTTAAATAAGATATTTTGACATTTTTACAATATAATTAGTGAAAGCGTAGTAAAATTTTAATTTTATTACTCGAAATGGTTCTACAACTCTCCTTATAAGTTAGGTTTTACTTTATTATAAAAATATCGAAAACGCATGTCACACATTTATTTATAAGCATTTTAATATCCAGATTTTGATAAAAATCAATTAAAATCTCAAAATTAGCATCATTTTTGTACTTAAAAAATCATAAGACTTTGAAATTTTTATACTTAAGGTTTGAAAATAAAATATAAGGTACTTCCCAAGTTTTCTTTACCAATGTTAAAAAAAATTTAACAAAATTTCACAAAACAATTTCACAGACTTCAATGATATTTGTTTAAACATTCGAATAATTATGAGAATTTAATTTAAACGATTTTAGTAATTTTCTTATTAAAAAATACTAGGGGTGGGTAGTTGAATTATTAAATTAATTAATATAAAGTTTTATTTCATTAAATACCTTATAGTATAAAAAAAAAATTGACTTTTTATATTTATATTAGAACTTACAGTTTATGAATGGACATTTTAAATGTTTAAACTTTTATGAAAAATGTATTTAAATATTGTCATATTCATAGTTATAGTTTTAAATAGTTACTTAATTCATTAACATAACACCAACCAATATATTTATAAATATATGTGAATTTAAACATTCTACAAAACTATATTTAACCAAAACTTGTCCGGAATATTATTCTGAATAAAGTATATGTCTTTGCTTTTGAATTGTATATACTCATAATAAAACACTTACACAACGACGTACAGAGTTAAACATAGTTATCTAATTTTTGTCTGTTTAACATATTTGTCTGTTCAAAAAATGTGTTAATATTTTATTAAGAATTTTATCATAAAAACTAAGGATTATATTAACTGCAACATGTTTAAATATAAATACCAATACATTCAGTTAAAAAAAGAATTTATTTTATTTTATTAAGAGCCGATGATATTAAGTATATTTTATTTTAATGTAATAATTACAATTTTGTATATATGAATGGGTTTTTTTGAATTTATTTAAAATACATAACTATGTAAATTTAGTTAAACAAAATATTAAAATTAAAATTGTTATATATATGGAAGTATTTGGATAATCCTTAGGTTCCCCAAGAGCATCTTCTAATTTTGTCTTCAACGTATGAATACTGAATAGTAGGTATTTCATTTACTTACATATTATCCTAAGCAATATAAGCAATAAAACAATTTTCATAATGCGATTGTAATAGTTTTAAGCCAAGCAATCGTTAAAGAATATAATTTACAATAATAATAAATTATTTATAGAATTAAGTAATTATAATTTAAATAACTTATAACCATTTGTTTAATATTATAATACTACAAATAAAATTGATCAAAATATCCGCTCGAGTTTTATTGTATAGTGAATATTTTGTTGGTTTCGCATGGAATTCAAACATAAAATAGATACTTTTACAAATATTATTACAACATTAAAATACTATATAATAATACCTTATTGAACCAATTATTTTAAAGAGTATCATATTTAAAAAATCCTATGGCTATTAAAAATGAATAGGATATAATATATTGTAAAAATGTAACCATTTTTTTATTAAGGTATTGTAATAATATCGTAATAATTTAAATTTACAGCGGTGTATGAAATACAAGTTCGACCGTGTGCTGGAATTGTGTTAGTAATAATTGGTGTTGTCGTACTATTCATATGGATTGCTTTGCCAAGTTCTTTCGAAGCACCTGGTAGTTTTTCATCTCATCAAGAAGAAACTTTAGAAGTCGTTCGGAGAATTCTCGAAGAAGTGCCATTAATTGACGGGTAACTATTAGACAACCTGTATATATTAAAATAAACATTTTAATATAATAAAATAAACAAGCGATTCAAAAAATATTATCACCAATAATAAGTCTTAATATTTTAACCATCAATTATTAATATATTTTATGTATAAAAATAATTTATTATTATTAATGGAAATAATTACCTTTTCAAAAGTAATAAAAACATATTTGTGGTAGATTTTATGGTTTTAATGGTTTCGATATATTACCTAAATATGTACTAAAAAAAATTGTATATTACCTAGTATAATCATGCTTTTTGTGTTTTATGCAAATATAAATATGAACATATTTTGTAATGGTACATTTAAAAACAGTTTTTCGTCTTTGTTGATGTTAAAAGATTCTCATTTTAAAATTCCACCTTTAATTAGACTATAAAAGTTTGAACTTTACATTCTTTGTAAAGGTAATATGACAGACTTCACTTTGTTCAAACTTCTGCTTCAAAACATTCAATATTTATATAATACTTGGATAATCTGTGCTTAAGTGTACACAAGTACATATTAAAATATTATATATATATATATATATATAAGTATATAAGTATATATTTACTCACATTAAATAAACATTATTTAAAAACAACAAAACGTAAGAGAGTAAGAGTGTTATACATATAGATGAACGTTAAATGTTTCTCTTTTTATATTTTTTTTTTTGTTGAAATGAGGTCGGAATTAAAAATATTCGAATTGATTTGTTATTAATGTGTATAAATAGTTATAACGGAATGCACTATATTTTTTAAGTTTTAAAATTAATATTTTTCGGAATTAAATGCTCAATATTAAAACTGTTTTGATATTTGATATATCATTGATTCAGTATTGAATATTTCAAGAAATATTTTCAAATTAATCAATTTCGTAAAAAAATCTTGTAGGTACATACATTTTTTTAATTTAATCATTTTTAATTAAAGTTCTAAAAAACTAGATTTGTAGAATATGAAGCAATATTATTTTGGTTTTAGTTAAAATAGATTTATTTGTTTTTTTTTTTTTTAATGAAAATTAGAGTTAAAAAAAATAAAAAATTTAATGTAATTGAATTTGAATATTTTTTAGCTCATAGAAATATTGAATAATCTTACTTAAGTTATACCTGTACTTTTGACATGTGAAAAATATTAAATCAGTTAAAATATTTTTTTAAATGATTCTGGTAAGATTAGAGAAACTATTAGTTCTGTAATATTTTATCATAATTCTTAAGTTAATTATACATATTTTTTAATCAAAAAATTGTTACAATAAATTCATATAAATTAATATCATATATTATATCAAAAAAAATTGGTCTCAAACAGGAGCAAGCACAAAAATATGTCCTTAAGAAAGGTAAGGTGAGCATATTTTTCTACATTTTATGAGAAGTGAATCCCATGCATAATACCGAATCTAGGGGGGAAAGTAAGTATGCTTGCCATAGGTACTGTTGGTATACCTTAATAGTGGTCTTAATTTTATGAAAAATAAAGAAGTCATATACCTTTACATATACCTTGACATCCACCTACGTAAGGGCGCTGCATTTAATTGGTCCCGAACGTCAAACTACCTAGTTTCGGCATTGCCTATGCATTCACTCCTAGACAAAGATGGTATACTAGTAACTACTGTTTATATATCATATATATATATATATATATTACAGTTATTACTAAACATACTTTAAATATTGTAATTTATTTTTTTATTATTTTGATTTCAACGATTTTGTTTTATTTTACTCAATTAATCTTTAGTATAACTTTGTTCAATTTATATGGCATATAGTTATCACTTTTACACACTCAAAAAACCATAAAATAACATAGTGAATACGTATATAAATCCATAAATATATAACCGTAATAGCCGTCATATTGAAATTACTATCATAATTACAAAGGATTATGATTTATCATTAAAAAGTATCAATTAAAAATATTGATACAATAATGACAAATTATTGTACCAGCAGTTGTATTTTTATCATAACTTGCTTATATTGGTTTAATGAGAAAATAAGTTTTTTATGTATTATGTTGTTTAAACAGTAAAACAAATATTTACATATTACTTTTTATTATTTTTTTATTGTTGTACTTTTGATTTTAAAATTCATTGACTTAGATGTTGTTTTATTTATTTAATGTTTGGTTTAACTTCTTGTCCAATTTTATAATTATACTTTTATCAATTATATAACTTTTTATACTCAAATAATTAACTACTTAATAGGTTCTTGTCTTTATTTATTCGTTTAATATCAAGAAGATAAACAGTTATTGATAATTAATAATATTACGTGAAAATATTTTGAAAGGAAAGATGAAGTTTTTGTACATATTATTATGTATAATTTCATGAACGGAACTTATTATTTTTTTTTATTTCATGAAACTTTATTTTACAAAATTTAATTTATTCATGCCTAAATTAATTTTATTAGAAGATTAAAACATTTTTCTTTTTGGAACAATTATTTATTATAATTTTTAGGATTAGAAATGCACTTGAAACATCTCAGCTGAGAGGAAACTGCCCTACAGTACATCTTATTTATAAAAGAACATTTTTTCACTATTGTATAACACATTTAGAATAAAGATCGAATTGGACATGTTCAAAAATAGTTTCACTTATTTTATAACAAGTATTAACTGGTTTTAGTACATACAAAACTGGATAAATATTTTAGCACATTGAAAATATTTATTTAATTTTTGATAATATTAGATTTTTACAATTGTTAGTGGTTAAAAAATATATCGTATATCAATCTTGATCCAAAAACAAATTAATGACCATTGACCTGTTCAAACTTTTAATCTCGTTTATTATAAAAGACTTCGTTGGCAGGGGATAACTCATAAATCATGCGAAACTTTTTTGAATTTCATCGCCTTTAAGACAGTAGCGGAAACTACTGTATTAATATTTAAAACTTCTTTCTTTGGCCTATTATCTGTTATCTTACAACATACAAATTTTTTACTTTCTGAAAATAATAAATAACGATTGGAGGCAGGCTTGACTGTTATGACTGTTATTCATATGCACACCTTTTATTTTTTTTTTATTGGAAATATGCAACATCTCAAAAAAACTGTATTTCAGTCAACAGTATAATATCCAATTTTTTTGTAGTTTAAATTTTTAATTTGATTCTACTAATATAGAACTATTTCAACATTTTACTTCCATTTAATTATATAAATTTTCAAAATTCACAATAACAACATAAACGATTGGAAGTGTCTCTATTAAAATAATGGTTTAAATACAATTATTCTTGTTCGGGCCAAGTTGGAAATTGGCGCGCGTCTTATCAACCAAACGCAACGATCCGAATACTCAACGGTGCGTATGTCATGCCATGCGTGTGTTGATAAGACGTGCATCGTTGTAAGTTGTGTATACTTGCGTGTGTGTGGTCGTGACGTTAAAAAAAAAGTTTGTTACGTTTTCCGCCGACGACGGGTTTTCTTCTTAACTGTGCTTGGTTTTTAAGATCAGTTTTTTCTTTATTTTATTATTATTTTTTTTTTTAATAAATAACACAGTATTTCAACCGACCACTAGAACCGGACTCTCTCCGAAAGGGTTAATTTGCATATAATAGTGTTGTGTGAGCCACATTTACTTATATTTCATTTTTATATTTATATTGTTGTGTGCCGTATGAACCATATTTTATTATTATTATGTATGTATGTATATTTATTATTCAAACGTTAATGTGATACATTAAATGTAAGTTGCTATTACAATAAAATTTATACGGTCCAATATCAGACGCAATTGAATTAATATATTACTATTGATAATAAAATAAATCCAGTTCCAAATATGTCGAGTCATAATCGTGTTAAGTTTAACCGGATTTCGCGACATAACAATTCCTTCACAACTAGATGTGCCATGGTGTATGAAATAAAAATGTTTAGATGCTTGATTAAAATAGAAAAATATAAAACACAATTTTTACAATTAAATGTTGTATTGTTGTCAAATTGTTGATATATTTTTCATTTTACGGTACCTATTGTATTTTATTGTATTTTGTCGTTTTTCTGACACATTGTTAATTTAGAGGAGTCTCAATGAGTTCCATAATATATACTTCGTAGAAGATGATTATAAACAAGCATTTTTCTTTAATTTATTGATGACAAAGACATTCTTATCTTACTTTAAAAGTTTTTCGTGATTGATTATACATAACATCATAGCATTTTACGTGTAATTCTTTCATGAATAATTTTACTTAGGTAAGTTCACAACTTTTAAATCTAAATGTTTTAAAATATTATTATATTGTTTATTTAAAATATTTTATATTATTAAACGTGTATCTCTTTCTTATAATCCATTTCCATAATAATTAATAATAGTTATTTTGTTATTTTTCCTTGGTATTTCATCTAACCCGTTTTCATTCAGATGAGTTTAATTTAAAAAAAAAAAAATTATTTTTTGTTTTTGTTTCTTATTTGTTAAATGCAATGTTCACCAATTATTTTATATAACTTTACAATCGATAGAACTCACAGGTTTTTATGTTGTGGATATAAAAAAAAAAAAAAAAATTAAAAAAATATATTTAAAATTGACCGTGTATATTTATTATAACATATGCATGCACTATTTAGTCATCTTAATCTTTATAAGCTGAAATCATTTAACAGTAGGTACATTTAACTATACAAACTTTTCAATGGGCAACAACAGAATAATGAACATTTAATTTTAATAAAATATAATAAATTAACACTTAAAAACAAAAACTAAACTTATTATATTTTTTAGCAATTTTAAATTGAACTCATCATATTGAAAAATAATTTTGTCGATAGAATTCAAATATTTATATGATAATGTGATTTTAAAACATAACGAAAAATATCTTTTTACTAACCCTAGTAGCATTAAATAGCATTGGATAAACGATAAAACTTCAGTTTTCAATATTTCAGTAGAC